TGGTAATGTCTGGCTTTAAATGACAAACCATTTTCTGACGACACTTCATTTATCTTGATCAAGAAGAAACATTAGGGAGTATTAAGAACAGGACTGCCCTTGTATGAAAAAGCTAGAGGATGTTCTTCAAATCAAGCTAACAAACAATCGGTGGTTAAAGCTGGTCGAAGTATGTTCCATGCAAAACTACTTTCAATGCGAGACATTTCCTCTAACATTCATTTGGGAAATGCAGATGAGATTGACGTAAATACGACATGAGGTGTTCTTTAGACATCTCACCGGAAACGGAGAAAATTTGATAACAAAACACTGAGAGCAAAGTACGTGTGCGCACAACACATAGCGGGGCGCGAGAATAGAAATGACGTGTCTGTCGAAAATTAGATTTGTAGTACATTAATACAGAAATAAGTAGATCAATAATGTCGCTTGAAATATTGAATTCTGTTCTGTCGTCTCCTTCGCATACAACATGGCCGCCACGAGAAAGCTAGCAAGAAAAAGTATCGTCTCAATTCTCTCGGTCACGTCAGTTTGTTTTGGTTTTGTCTAGACCAATCATATCAAAAGAAATGGTATAAACAAAACTGTCTGTGGAGGCGGACGGTCAGTTGAGAACAAATTTGCTCGGCTATTTTCTTGCCTATGGTGATATGCTATCCACGCTGCTAGCCCTATTAATATACCCAGCGGTATTGAGAGATTATAGTTTTAAGAGTCTTGTAGAAAAAAAAGAGCACTCAGTCATGCCAGAATAGTTCGATTGACAACGTACGTGTGCTTTACGCGCGCTGCTGGTTTTATTAATGCAGTTCAGACATTTCTAATTGACGGCTATTTTGCCTCTTCTCATTCTCTAACCAACTTTATAAATCAGGTGGTAGAGAGACTTGTTGTCTCCTGGCCCATTTTGTAGATATTTTCTGGAGGAATAAATCATCCATGCATATGTTTATAACCAAAATTTATCATGTTAAAGTGATTTTATGAATAAATAAGGTTATTAATAAGTTACAAGTAGGTTAGTTAGCTTATGTTACCAGCTTTAAAGGAAATAAAGTATAAAATTTTCCTCGTCGCATTTTTTTTTAAGTTAATCAAGAATAATTTCTCCGGGAACAGGTGTGTTTGCCAGTCCCAGCTCCAGGCAATAGCAAAGTGAAGGTACTATGTTATGGTCAACTGAGTCAAAATATCCACAACGACGATGGGTTACAAAAAATTTTGTAGAAGTTATATTTTCCCTACACTATAAATCTGATCGCCCTATCCTAAAATTTGATTTCTTACCAAACATTTTCCCCAGGAAAGATAAACATCCTCGTTAGATATCGTGATTTCACCCGTCCAAGTTCTTCAACGTGTCATTAATTGAGTCTTTCAAAAACTAAAGCCACGTCACCATGATCTTGCTTCAAAGGTCATATTATGATTTGTAGGTAAACAATATTGCGATATAGGACAACTTTTTCTTGCGTTATTTCGGTAATTTTAATCTCAGATTGCGGTATTCTCCTATAAACTTGCGAGTTGGCATTTTGGACCGCGATTGCGTAAAATTATCTTCCCCATCCTCCACCGTTTTCCGAGCCTTTTCTTGGTCCCATAATCACATGCGAGAAATAAAGAGAATTCTCTCCTGAAGTAAACCTAGAAATGGATAACTCGCTAAAATAGATTCTTTTCAACAAAGTAAGCGGTCAGACAAAAAGCGATTTACTGTGGAAATAAGTTGAGGTACTTTTATTGAGAATTTGACTGTATTTTCCTAATCGTAGAAGCGTTGGTAAATATTCCCATACACACTCGTATAATTTCGCCCTGACTCTTACTCGCAAGATAATTATCTCACAGCTGGAGCTTGGGCTGCCAGTGGTTTAGCTCTCAAGAAACGGTCAGATAAAAAATCGATCCATCATCCGGTTGATCTGACTGTCTAGTCTTGAGATCTTAACATAATGAATGAGTTGCCAGTAATTGTGTTTGCGCACAGATTTCTAGGTTCGCCACGGGGCAAACATTGCAATAGAGAAGTTGAATCTTGTACGTGTGCATTCTCTGTCGTAACAGAAACGAACAATGGTGAAAAATGGCCAATCTGATCAGGTTTATATTTGAGAATTGCCCGTTATAGAGAGGAAACTCTCTATAACTCAATCGTGTCATAAATCTACTTTCCTAAGTAAAAGTAAAATAACTAATTAGGAGTATTGTATTATAGATATACTTGTATATACCTTTCATATGCTATCTTGATTATTGAATAAAGGACAGTTGAATCAGAGGAATGAGAGGACTTACTTGACCTATGAATACTCTAAAATGGCAATAACGTTCAAAAATAATTTCTCAAGTTAAAGTCGCCTTTAGAAAGATTATTTAACCACAAAGAGAGCCCCAGCTCCGGATAAAAAGACATTAAATTTAGATGATGAACCCCACCAGGAGCCTCGAGTGTCAAGTGAAGACAAAATAACAAGGAAGTAGAGGCACATCGTTTACCGAGTATTCAAAAATAGATTGTAGCTTAGAAGAGGTTCATGAAGGTCACAGCAGAGTTATGGAATTCACAGCGCGGTTATTGCGGAATCGAATGAATTAGCTTTTGAAAAAAATTGCAATGTTTCGCTGTTATCGGAACGGATATTAAGTCGTACACATGAACATTATGAAAATTCACTTTAGAGTTTCTTCGAGTGGTGCGTAAGCCGTAAGTAGGAGCGTGACAAATATAGTCTTGTCACACCACTTGTCTATAATATAATTTTTTAAATTTTATTTCGAAAAGCACTCGCGCTTCGCTTTTAAATCTTATTGTCCTAAGAAACTTAGTAAAAAACGGGAGAAAAGTAACTGACTATTATTGTGGACGAAATGATATTTTCTATCTCAAACTGCAAACGTCTAAACTATATCACCTAAAAGCGATGAGCTATTACATCTGACTAAAAGCAACGTAATAAATCCTTCAGTTTCGTTCGGCCTCTTCTTCTTTAATAATCATGGTATAGACATTATCTATTGCTTTATGTTGGCGTCTCTTAATACACTCAAACGTTCAGTTCAGAGATTCAAAAGAAAGATAGCTTTTAACACAAAATGTTAAGACTAGAAAGCTTTTGGATCCGCTAGTATGCGGAATGAGTTATCAAATACGAAATTAAAAGCCATCAAAAATATGAATAGCCTTACATCAATCAGTTCACGTACCTTAGCGATAACATTGCGGCGCACTTTCCTTCGGATAAGTTTAGCGTATGTCTCATAGCAGGAATTGAATGCAACTTATTTGATTGATTATTTAAGGGTACAAGTATCCGTATCAGCGAACTCAGAGTAGATTTTACGGCATCCTCCGAAACTGAAAGGCTATTATTATAAAGGTTCACTTCCTACTTCCTATTTCCTCATGCGGGGTCCAATTGAATCATGGCCTGGTTTCTCAGTACATTATCTTATATTTTTTTATTCTTCGGTTCGATAGTTTTTTTTTCCTCAAGCCTAATAAAAGTAAAGTTAACAAAAGTAAACTTTACAACATGTACACCTATTAATACTAAATTTAAATTAGAAAAATGTCGTATTAACTCTACGACTAAAAATTTAGCTCGTGATCTTGATTAAGTACATTCAATGTCCATCTACAAAAATTTCATTTTAATTTTACGCTCAATGTGATAATGCAAGTTAAACTGAAAAAAATTAACTACCATACTATAATTTAGGATCAAAAGCAAATAAAAAGACCCGTGTACATGCTATCTTTGCTTGGGACACTCCTTGATAAAATTTACCCTTTTGCATTGCATTCCTATGAAGCAAATGAATTCAAAGTAGTGACCCATTATTTACCTTTGCATGAAGTTGTTTTTAAATATTGTTTGTTGTTCCTGTATTTCTTTTTGTTCGGTTTGTTTCACATTTTTTTATTTGGTTTTCGTTTGCCTAACTCCTCCTCTATGAGAGAGTATCTGTCTGGTCAGTTGTTTGTTAAAATCGATCAACAACTCGAAAGCCTACGTAACGGTTTGGTCAATGAGAAATTCAAATCTAGTAACATAAGTAATCTATAACTTTGAACTCCTTTATAACTCTAGATAGGCCGAATTGTGCTCTACACTGTTAAAGATGAAGGAAAATAATGGCAAAAACATTTTGTATCAACCCACAAAACTTCATATATACAACCGGATAAAAACCCCTTACTCTCCCTAAAATCTTATTAATAACTATAGCAAAATCGCTCTTTTTACCTACAAATAGTGTTTGGGAAACAAAAAGCGAAAGCGATTTATCGTATTTAGTTAAACTCGTTACCTTTCAAAAAGGGTAAGAAGGTAAGAAGCTCCTGACTTCTTCACCTCTTCCAAGCAAACTCATCATGCTTCACTGATATCCAGACAAGAAACTTAGAGAAAAAGACCCCTGACGTTCTTCTCCAATCTTTCACAAGATTTGCGAAAAAAGAAACCATTTAAGTGTTATACAACCTCACATAAGTAAGCTTTCAAGTCCCAAGACTTGGCGTCTAGGACTTTCAAAGTACGAAGAATAACTAACCAATGTATCATTAACCTACGTTTGTAACAGCTTTATTTCTACATATTTGAGTAACAATTACTAATCACAACGTACCACCCCCGATGGGGATTTTGTGGATAGTCCATACAACAAACATTCTAACATAAACATCTCAACATAAAACTTGTCTTCAGCTAACACCCCTCAAACTACACTTAAAGTGCAGTTTCGTTTACAGAAACTATTGGAGATCAAAGAAAGACTGTTTCCTTGGTTACGAGCCTGATAGTGGGTATAGTGAGCATAGTGAGACCGGTGTCTACTCGAAGTAATATCCGGAAAATTACACGTCTTAACAAGCACGATCTCAAAGCCTTTTAAAAACTAGGTTACACATAAGTAAGCTTTCAAGTCCCAAGACTTGGCTTCTAGGACTTTCAAAGTACGAAGAATAACTAACCAATGTATCATTAACCTACGTTTCTAACAGCTTTATTTCTACATATCTGAGTACCAATTACACCCTCAAACTACACTTCAAGTGCAGTTTCGTTTACAGAAACTATTGGAGATCAAAGAAAGACTATTTTCTTGGTTACGAGCCTGATAGTGGGTATAGTGAGCACAGCGAGACCGGTGTCTACTCGACAACAGTCTCACTATGTTTGTACTATTTCCCAAGCACAAGCTTAGTGTTATAAATTTAACTTATTTAAATCTTTTGATAGCGTCATACGTCCGGTTGTCCTATGTACTTTAGTTAAATAACAATAGTTCTAAACTACTTTTTTACCAGATTCATAAAACTACTTCGATTAATCATAAAAAAAGTATAACTATTAAATAAAAAATTGAGGTATGTGCGGAATATATGAATATCCGGAAAATTACACGTCTTGAAAAGCACGATTTTAAAGCCTTTTACAAACTAGCTACATTTCTTGACTTTCTGCGAGACAAATCTCCGACCTACTGTGTCGTGGACTAAAAGAAATGACCTCCAATATACACAAGTTCATATTTAGTACTAGAGATAAATGATTCTACATTCAGCCGAGTTATTCAATGTGAAAAGTTTATTAAGGATGAGTCCGCCAGTCTTGCAGTATACGCATCCTTATATGATCTTAACATGTGTGTACTGAAAACTAAGGGTTCTACAAAAGAACCTGTGCTACGCCAGATACGAAAAACCACTAAAAAAACCACTCTTTGGAAGTGGCCAAAAAATATGTGGAAACGTATTCCTCATCTAATGCAGCAGCACAATACCCCGAGGAAAGGGCAAACTAATCTGATTACACTGCTAATCACAAAGAAAAATCAATGAATGTAATGATATTTTACAGGGATTTGAAAACGAAAATTAGGTCAATACGAAAAAAAAGAAAGAAAGAAAGAACATGGTCAAACACAAGACTGATCAACCTAGAATGAATTTTCCCGCGAAACGCTTAAATAATCCGAAACTTTCATGATGCCACGCGAACCTCTTCAACTTGCCATCAGAATATTAATTTCTGACTAACTCGTTCCCATGTCACTCAAACATCAGAAATTACATTTGCGGAAACCATGTGATTTTCATCTCCTCCATTAAAGTGTAAACATGAACGATGACAATGACCATGTTTTTAGATTTAAAAAAGTAACCGATCCTCGCGAAAATTGTCTTTAAATGGGCTAAAATGTTCGACTTCAGACGCTGCTTTTTTATTTTTGTCGAGTAATATGGCCGATAAACTGTAATGTGAAAAGTTTACTTTTCTTTTCCCATTTATTGGCAATCTCTCTGAAATATTCGAGGCTAAAAAAAAGGCATTCCTGAATCAAATTAGGAATGCATGTGAAAGCCAGAGAATCAGCAGTTCGTGAACCGTGCGTCGAAGTTTTAGGTAGACGGATTGCTGAGTTGTCATGGCATAGCACGTTTGAATACATTTTCGAGAGAGATGTTACTCTTTAGAACCTCAAAACATGCCAAGTAATAAATTTTTATGTACACTTTTAAACAGTGGAGATACAAATCGAATGATTCCTGAGATAAACTTCTTAAGTTCACTTCTATTTCATAAATTTTCAATGTCCACCCTTCTGGTTAAAGTAGCTAGGCCTCTAACAGAATCTGATACATTCCTCAACATCGTTCCTTGTGCGTTCACACGACCCTCAAGTCGTGTGATCCTTTCCTGGACAGCCGCCGTATCCCTAATGAGCCTCGCAAGTTCCACGCTTTGGTTACTCTGCTCATTTTGCAGGGTGTTAAAATTCGCTTGATGATCATCGTGCTTCATTTGGTGAGCATTAAGAGAGACTTGAATATGGCGTAATCTGTTGTTGACGTCGCCGACCGCATCTTTTAACTGATCATTTTCTGACACCAGGTGAGAATTAACATTAGCGATGTAGTTTGTAACTTCATTTTGTTCCGAAAAACAGCGAGTCAGGTGAGCAACTTGATTTTCAAGGTTGATTAATCTTTGCACATGTTGATCAGAATCATTTGGAACCGAGTTTCGCGAGGATGCGGTGTTTCTCGCCATGGTATCGTTTAGGGAGGGGTTCAACTCCTCTTTAAACTCCAAGCAATTTTCGGCCGAGTTCCTATTTTGTCCCGCTATATTACCAGACAACAAGAAGTTGACCTGACGAGGAAGATTGGCGTTGATATGCCCTTTCTGCAAAAGAAATAAAACCAAAAAACCTAGTTATCTCAATGGTTCTTTCATCATCATCATCTGGGAATAGAGGCCACTTGGAAAGAAGAGATGTGAAGCACAGTACAGGAAAGTATTAACAAATCTATACTTACGTACACAACTTTCCTCGATTGATAAATACAACACTCTGACTGAAATTATAATCTTACCAGTTAAAACCCGAAATTTCTCATTCTAACTTTTTGTCTCACTCATGACTTTGTTTCAGTTGATTACTAAGTGGTTACGCTTGGAAGCTAAAAGAAATGCAATTAGAGTCGCAGTGAACAACTAGAAGCTTTTTCATCACCTCCGTAACATTGGTACTCCTTTGTTCATTGCAAGATCGTTTTGTCTTAAGTCTACGGGCACGATTTTCTTCAAAGTGCCCGTGACGGTCAGCTCGACACACATTCATCCCTCCCTTATGACAGTCAACTCTTTCCCTGGTTGGAGAATGGTTCTGTAATGAGAAAAATTATACATCCCTTTACCAAAATGAGTCTGTCGCAAATTGGAAAATAACACTTGAATGACTTTCAAATAGATTGGATGAGAAACAAAGCAAAAAAAGTTGCAATAAACCCATATTTCACTCGAATGAAAATCATTCATTACAGAATACGGTGGCCGGGATCGTGCACTTCTCGGCCGAAACGAAAATTTCAAAATCTCGCCGAAATTCAGTAATCAAAAGATAATCAACTACCAGATGTTTAGAAGACGTGACTACAATCGACAATACAAAGCCAATGAGTTGGGAAAAGTGTCTCGCGCTCTATGCCGAAATTCGCAAAGCTAATGCTTGCGACCACCAACAGACAACTTGAATAAAATGATACCAAAATTTTCATTCTGAAGGTGCGAGAATTTGTCAACTCCAGTTCCTGGAGTGAAGGTCAGAACTCTTCTCGAGAAAGGCTAGGGAAAAAGACGTAATGCTATGTGAGCACTTACCGTCTAAGATGAAGGGCAGCTACGGAAAATTAAGATTTCAATCTTTCAGTACATTTCTTTCGTCCTTCAGAAAAAAAACCTTAAGATTGTCACACAGTGAGCTAACGGTCAGTACACTGGACTCCGGACAAGAGGTCTGGGATAGAAACCTGGCCGCGAGTCATTCTTGGACGAGACACTCTTACTCACGGTACCTCTCTCCACCAGAAGGAATGAATCGATACCGACGAATTTTCAAAGTTTCCGGGCGAAATGCAGAGGGTAATCTCCGATGGACGAGCAGCCCATCCAGGGGAAGTAGCTGTACTCTTAGTCGTTTCATGCTACACAGTCCGAAATAGGTTCCAGTGCCTTGTGGGCCACTTGGATCAGGTTCAAGTGTTACCTTTACATTTCACCTTCCCTGTCAGACAATGACAGTCGACCACTTTTATGGTTGTCACATGACAATTAGTTACGGAACTAGCGTTGATTCTTAGAGGCAAAACCACATTAAAATACTGAAAGAAGCCATCACTCTTGTATTTTTTGACACTCACTTAATTTGTGCTTTCTCACTGGGTATAATTTTGAAATTTTGAAATGTCTTTCAAAGAGCTTTCCCTCATTTTTTTCTCTGTGTTCAGTATACTAGTTTGAGGGGAAAAAAAAAAAGTTTCACTCTCTTTTTCATTACCTGAAGGTATGAAGAGGTTACGAATGTAAACGCCCGTGTTTGTTCCCTCGTATATTACTTGTATGCGTTATTTAGCAAAAACACCCTGGCGACAGGTAACATGGACAATTATCAAAGATCATTAGCCGGTATTGATGTCATATACTAACACAGGCCATGCTATTACCTATATTACATATCGCATGTATAAAATGCTTAAGTGCAAAAAATTTAAAGACAAAACGTCTAAAAACATCTTTATGCGACAACGCACAAAAATTGGCCAAAGGTTAGTCACCTTTCTAACAATGGCGTTGCCTCCTCCATGGCAGGATCGTCTTGTCTCTGATCTACGAGCACCATCTCTAACTACGAGCTCGGAAGAATCAGTATTTATCCCACACTCAGGACAGGTAGCTGTTTCTCGGGTTGGAGAACTGTTCTGTCATAGGACAAAGTAACAAACTACAAATTGTTATAGCCTTACGATTAAACGTTTCTAATTTCCCAGAAAATATGGAAAGGAAAAAAAAAATACAAAGTGAAGACTTTCTCTGAAAGTTTTATCCAAACCATTACTATCAATTTCTAGATTGGTTGTTGAGGGTTTACCTTAGTTTGGAAAAACCATGTCGGTGCTAGTAAGATCTTTTTGTGGTTACGTGAATTCAATTACCTTGAAAACATTTCAGCAATACATAGGAAGGCTTGAAAAAACTTTCAATAAAATTCGAGCTAAAAGGAAAGACTTTGATCGTCTTGTCACGAGCATGTCAAAGAGGAAGAATGCGAGTCCCCATTAAGAGTCGAAACCAGACCTTGGGGTTCTGCGCTTCGATCCTCTACCACTGAGCCACAGAAAACAGTGTGTCCGTGTAACGAGTTATAATATGTATGTAGATTTCTGTAGTTTTTTCAATTCATTGTAACATAAGATATGTAGTTTTATCTTATGATGGAATAAAGACCTATTAGTTAGGCAATTACTAGGTTCATATCTGACACGCGTTCCGTGCAGCTCGGATCAGCGATTTCGATGGATAAATTCAGATTCCTTTTTCTGAGAAGTGATATAGTTTTTTTTCAATTTTCCCAAGAATAAACTTCTGCCTTAACCCTCCATGTTTCCTCTTACGTGCCCACACGAATGAAAGTTATCGAAAACTTGCTGACCTGTGGGTTTTCGCCATCCTGAGCTTCTTGGCGGTGGGCAGGCACGGGACGTTGGGTGTGCGAATCCTGTTTCAACATAAATTTCATTACGTAAATCCATGTGTTGTGGATGTTTATTCGAACATTTTTCAGGATGTTATTTTAACAAAACGACCTGCTCCATTTCATTGGGAAAAGTGTTCTCTAGGTTCAAATTTGAACCACTGGTATAAAGAAATATACCTCGTCAATTGGATCTTCATCCGCTTCAGTTCCAATTTGATTCTGCGAAAAAATAACGTTAAGGAATATTACAATTGCCTGCCATTGTTCTTTTGATCGCAAACACTATTTTCTATAGCATTTGGAGGAACAAAATCGATAAGAAGAAAGATGCCAAACTGACCAACCTCAACAACATTATCAGAAAGTAAGAATTCTCTTTCGTCATCTGTTCCAGTAGAAAGCGTGATATCGCCCTCACACTCCTTTTGCTCTCCTCTTTGAATGCTGGCCAAACTGCAGCTTCCTACATGACACTAAAAGGTGTGATGCAAAACAGCCATAAAATCAAAGTTGGAATTTTATGACTGAATTAGAAGAAGCCTCCTGGGACTGCGTCCGATATTTTTGGGAGTGGGAGACGGCGGTTAACATATTCAAGTGGGGGGAGGGGGGGAGGACTTGTAATTGACAAAGGTTTATATTATGATACAGTAACACATAGAATACAGTTAAATTATTAAGGTATTACGATAACTAATAGCAAAGTTAACACACACGTTAGTACACAGGATAAGGCAATTTTGGTCAGCTAAACTGTTTTAGAATATTTTAGAAATATCATAATATTATATTAATTAATCTTAACAGTATAGAATAACTTATTAAAAAACAGCTGAGATGATCTCCCTCTGTCAGAAACTGCTGAGTTTCAAGCTTGGGAAGTACATGTTCTTCGCTTGATTAACATAAAAATTAAAACCAACAGTTATGGGAGTGAAGAGCCATGACAAAAACTTCCCTCCGTGATCTCACTTTCACCACTAATTTTGGCAACATGTAAAATATCACAACTTTCTGTGACTCTTTTTTAATAACTTTTTCAAAGTTTTAACCTTTCAAGTGAAAGTTAACAACTATAAGCTGTTTTAAAGGATATGTTACAAAAATGAAACAGCTTTGGAGGAATATTGTCTTGTCCCTTTCAACCCAATAACCATTGTTTTTAAATACATATCACTGCACAAACGAAAAAATTGCCTTTGGGTGAGGCAAAGAGTAATTTTGGATGCTATAAGGAAAGGGAAGCTACTTTTATTCAGGTTGATCAATGCTCATTTTTATACAACACACATATCCTGGATATCCAATCCACTGTTTCCTGGTTGAATTGAAATTTATATAATGATATACATATACATATATATTCATACATATACATTTATATGCCATAAATCCACACGCTACAAAGATCTAGGGTTGACTGAAAAAAACACTGAACTAATGTCTCTAGCAAAAAAGGAAAAAAAATCAGGCAATTTGTATACTCATATTGATTCTCTGTATGTGTGTGACAAGACAAATTATGTCATACTGTCTGATGTGAACATTCTTCATACAGTGTAGTGGTAACCTAAAGTAAGATTTTGTTCTTTCTTACCTCAGATTCTTTCAACTCTCCTTCCCATTTACATCCTGCCTCCAAGAATAAACAATGAATTATGGTTCTCTCAACTTTACTGCTGATTATGTCATCTGGCAAGAACTTAACAAAAAGGGAGAGGAATCAGGAAGCATCACAGATTATACATATGGTTTGTGCAAGAACACAGAGGAACTTTATTGAGCCATGGTTTGTTCATTCACTGCCTCAGTGTTACCATGTTAAGCCTATGCCACTCACACAAGTGGTTTCAGGCAGTACTGAAAACATTTTGAAAGTTTGTTTGATTTTTTCAACATACAACTTCTTGCACATGCAATTTAGAAAAAAGAAAGGAGCAATGAGGTAAGTAAGGGCTTATAGAGCAAACCAAATAGCATGATTACTGCCTGAATAATACTGCCAATTCTCCTGTAACTAATACCATCATTTGAATGCTTGAGCAGTGCAGTACATCACTAACAACATTTATTAAAATTTTCACCCTGTGGTCTTTCTCAATAATGTCTTGGAAGTTAGTCCCAAGGTAAATTTGAGCATTTTGATTAGCTCTCATTTGGCTAAGATATTGCCATATTGACCATTTTCTCAGACACAGTCATAAGCTGTGTATTTTTTCGCTAAAGCTGGCAAATTCACATTAAACAAGCTTGATCTGGTTGCCCTTTAATAAACCACTCACTAACTTTGCTTGCTCAAGCAATACTAAAAAGGATTGGCCCTTGCTTGATTGTGTATAGACCTTGCTGCACTTAGTCCATACAAAAACAACCTTGAGCCAATATTCCCCAGTATAGCCATCACGCTTGGTTAGAAATTTTAAGAAGCTAGTGGTAAATTTACCTCATAAATAACAATTATCAAGGCAATTCTACAATGTATAATCTTATAACTGGGCTCAACGCTAATACTTGTATACCACCAGTGCCAAACATGAAGATTACCTGATAAAGGAAGAGAGGTGTTCTGCACTTTCTGCAGTAAGCTACTGCTCCTTGATTTCCCCTAGTTGTTGTCAAAAAAATAGCTAATTAGCATTAAGAATAAAATACTGTGCTGCAAGGAAATATTGTGGGTATCAATTCTTGCCTATTCTGCAAGTGGATCCCAAAATCCCAAAATAAAATGATGATTGTGTTCTACTTGTTGTATCAGATAATTAGCCAGTAAGGTTTTAAGAGGCAACAGAATTCAAGGACTTGTTATAAATTTAGCAAACCATCTCGGCAAAAGATGTTACATTTCCTTAAGTTCCTTGAACAAAAAAATCACAAAAATAAGTTTAAGGAGAAGTAACCATCATCGTCATCATAAACCACTGTTGCAAGGCTCTAAAGACTCTTTCTCATAGTTGACTATGATGACTAAAAACCATAAAATGGTCACCATGAATAAACTGTGTAATTAAGAGAGAATAAAAACACTTGCTGGTAATCAGTTTTAGAAGTTCATGCCATTTCACAGAGCTTTTAACTCAGACAACCAGGGAGAAATACAACATACACAAGATACAGAGACTTCCTAAACAATAATGCTCCAATTTACATTATACATTTTGAAAAAGATTATGAGGCCTGAAAATGGACTGTTCAGTGTTTTGGTCACAAACATTGAAACTTCTCAAAGATGAATCAGTTCTTCAGCAAGAAAAACATGAGGCATTGCATTGACTCTCTGTCACACAATCCAACAAACTGTTTGTAAGTGCAACTCTAATTCTCAATCAGTACTAATCCAGTATGAGTTGACATAATTAGACCAAATATATGTGTAAGTAGTATTATGCACCAGTTGGAGTAAAACCTTGCACCCCTGTGGCCAGGACATAGAGGGGTATTAGACTGTTGCTCAGTGCTAATCTTGTAGAAAGCCCTGCACCCCAAGGCCAGCTTTTTCCCTTGAAAAAAGGTGGTAGACAAAGGCTAATGTAAACACTTTAACTTTATTGCATGGAACTTCCACACATTAACCCATTGACACCTGATCTGCTCATAACAACCCCAACTTCCCCTGAACCACCCATAACCACCTGTTCATAACAACCCCAACTTCCCCTGAACCACCCATAACCACCTGTGCATAACAACCCCAAATTTCTCTGAACCGCCTGTAACCACCCATAAAAAAGGTGATCCTATTACAATCTCACCCCACTCTCCCCTAGTAGATCTTTGTGTTTTGTTGCTATCATAGTGACTTCTAAGGATGATAAACCAATCATTTAGCCTTCTTTCCACAGATTTTGATGACTAGTTAGTGGTGCCACTAAAGATTTCTGAAATTTTCATATTGAAGCACACAGTTTATGATGGCTGACAAGATTTCCAGCGGTTGAAGCACTTTTTGGAGACCCAGGGTATTAAGGAAGCTGTGATGGGTTTAATGAGCTTGATAGGAAAGGTTTAAATTTAGGTAATGAGTTGGAGTGAGATCCACATGGTTTAGAACCTGGAGACAAAGATATCAATGCTGAAGAAGAAGCTTTAACTGGACTAACTAGCTTGACAATATCTAAGTTCACCAGTTTGTAGCGTCTACAGGCATTAATTTAGTCTTAAATAATCCCAATGAACTAGACATATTTTTAACTTTCATTAGGGATGATTTTAATGTGGGATAAAAAATGGTTGAGGAAAGTAATCATTATGCACACAAGAAGTTAGGTGATCAATTTGAAAGTTTTTGTGCCATAACAGGTTGAAATGAGGGCACTCATAGGAATTATTATAAGTATGGGTATTGTTAAGCTTCCAGCTTATGCTCTTTACAGGTCAGGTGATGAATATTTAGGAAATCTAGGGACTAAGAATAAGTTTGAATAATTAACTTGCTTTATACATTTTAATGATTCAACTATGGAGCCAACAGAGATTACAATCACCTTTTCAACGTTTGACCTGTTTTATGTTATGCCCATACTAAATGTGGGGGGGGATTTTCTGCCCACTAAGTATATTTCTGTAGCTGAGGGTATGACTAAGTTTTGGGGGAGGTTATCTTTTAGGATATATATTCTGGCTAAGCCCACTAAGTATAGTATAGAGGTTTGGATGGCCACCAGCCATAGTAAAGGCTGTGTAGTGAATTTTTTAGTGAAGAACCTAATCAGCGGCCAAGAATTTACAGCTTAGGGTATGACCTGGTGGCTAGTGATTAGGCCTTACAAAAAAAACCGGACACTTTTTTTTTGACAATTTTTTTTCAGCTTAACTAAGTAATTAGAACATTTAGGAAGTAATAACACTAAGGCTTGTGTCACCACAAGATCTTATTGAAGGACTAATGCCTCCATGAGTAACAATAAGTTGCATTGTAAGGAGAAACAAGTTCTTAAAAATGGTAGTGTTACTTTTACTAAGCCGCATGACAAAAGAGATGTGAGTGTAAATTCCTCTAATTTTAGTCTTTTAGCTGTAGATTTAGTGAGTTGAGATTGATAACACCCATACCATGCGTAACTACAATCACCTTTGCTAAGGAACACAAGTCACCTCAAACAATACATATAAAGTGGTAAATTGTTTGTAGTTTAGGTCTCCAGTTAATATTTACAGAAATAAGGAACCATCTTTTCAATTCCAGTCCCAGTCCACCTCCATTTCTCCGCCAGTCCTAGGTGGCATGCAAAAACCATCAAAGTTCCTGAAAACCACAGCCCTTTAGCTCATCAAATGACAGAAAATTCCCTGCAAGTTCCCCACTATGTCCTAGTCCCAGGGTTGCGGGGGTTTACATTTACTAGTGACGCCTACCTGAAAAGAAACTCCACACATGACCTGCAGTAAAAGTGCCCACATTCTGCTCTCCAGGCATCTCTTATCACTGTGTCACAGTACTCACAGAGGAGTTCTTGAAATATCTCTTTGTCTACCTCTGGTACCGGGTAACCTGGCATTGTTATAACTATCTGATCTTTAATTCAGAAAGTAGCTCCATGGGAGTCGCATCAACTGAGGATGAGGTTTAAGTGCTCTAGAAAATTCGAAGGCCCCACCGGTAAGTCTGCAAAACCGGGAGTAAACAGGAATACTTAAACTGAATAAATGTATTGGTTCAATACATAATAATAAGTAATTACCCTTGAAAACCTAATGAGCTCTTTGAATGCACTTAGAAAATTTTCCTTCTAATTAATCAAGTTATGTCAAAGATCGATCCACACGAACATCACGATCGCATGAAAATGATCTCCCACAGCAATAATGATTGCGAATTGTTCCTTTTATTGCATGTGACTGAATTACGATGGCAGTAAGATAAAAGTACAAGTTTCGTGTGAAGCAACTAAGTCCATAGTTTTGAATCATGGAATAAATATAAATTGATTTCTCGGTCATGAATTTAGCGACCTACCTCTTTATGTGTTCCCCATTGTATGAAAATCACCGGTTTCGAAAAATATTGATGGTATACGATAAGAATCGGAAAGAATTAAAATATCTATCCTAAATTCGCCTTTGGGAATGAAAGGACGAACCTTGGGAAGCACGACGGAAGCAGGGAAACTTGTTTAAAAAACAAACATGGAGAGTGTCTTCCATATCATGTAAGTGATACTGAATTATTCACTCCAAATATGGAAAGACAAGCTCTACAAGACTAGCAGGGTTCAATATCTTGTACGTAAATCTCAACATTATTATATGCTTTTGGTCAAGTGGATTCTCCTTTACAGAGCAAACAAATAGTATTGACATTACTCTGACAAGCATTAACAAATGCTATCTTCATTAACAGTTCATTAAAAATTTTTGTAATTGTGTTAAAAGCTCCCGTTCTCATGTATATGGCACGAGATCGGGAATGAGATACGACAGGAGTAGGGAAAGGGGATGTAGGCTAGTTAGGAAACTTCTTTGAAATCACACATATGTAGATCTGATTGCGCTATTTCGATGAAACATATGCGCAAGAGAACGACAAAAGCGCCGCGAGTTATGTTAACCTCTCTCTATTTTTAATCATCTCTTAGCAATAAAGTGAAATTTGATTCAATGTCCAATAAATCAGGGCAGTCAGTCCCCTCATCAGAGAGGGTTTTTTTCGCAGTTACCGGAGCAGATTCTCCAACCAAAACCTTAAGCCTATGACCCGAGCCAAGCCAGTAAATCCCTGGCTCAAAGGTAACGTTCCTGACGTCTAACAGGGGACTCTTAAAAAAAAAAGCGGGGTACAAGATTCTTAGCCTTTGCTGATCATAAATTCGAACCGTTCGACAACTTAAGAAAAACGTTTTTTCTACCGACAAAATATCCATTAATTCTGATGACAAACCGAGTGATCAAATTATCATTTAACAGCCATTACTAATTAACACCTGCATTAAAAAGTCCATCGTTTTCTCACTGAAGGAACGTTCTTCGCTGTGCTTCAAGAAATTAGATGCAATATGACCTCGCTAATTCCTTTTCGTTTACAAGCCGTCATTTTAAGTAACTTATTTATCTATGAAATGCTCGAAGAGTTACCTGAACAGACATTAGTGGTGAATAACATCAAAGGAAAAATGCTACAGCTTTCGTATTCCATAATTTTTGCATAAATGATTCAGTTTTTCTAAGTTCCTGTGTTGGCTCTAATGTATCAGACACATTTTCTAATTTTCATTTGTGAATGTTCCTGATTGGCCTGCCTAAAATAGTCCCTTACCGTCTAGCATGGAAAAGGTGTAGGTTGTCGTTCATCACCTAAACATTCCACAAAATGTAACGCCGAAACGATCGCTGAAAGAAAAGAACGACTCCGCACACCAAAACATCGTTTGTACCTTAGTCTACAATAGACTTTTACTTGTACTTTTCACACGGGCGACAAGCTCAGAACAAGCTAAGAATTCTCGGCTGTTCCATTGCTTTTAAAGGTGCCATTAGCCGGGCTAACACTTAACAAATCAAATAAGATTTACATGGAGAATCACATCCAACTACATTCCACACATCTTGTTCTAAATGTATTGCCCTTTGAGTTATTTCCTGAGTTACTCAATAACGAGATAAACAGAAAATGTCTAGAAGAAGGGGCGTATAGTTACTTCAAAACACGTTATGATACTTTAAAAAAAAATTTGGCGTCTGATTCAAAACAACTCCAAAGTCCTTCCAGAGAAAGCCTGCGGGATAGATGTAAATTTTTGCGTCTTTCAGGCGAGGTTAGGCTAACGCGAGGCGAGCGTGAAGGTCGAGAAACGTGGAAGTGCGAAAAAATAACACTTTGGTCATTTGAATAATGACCAAGTATAAAAGAAAACGAGCAGAGGGCGACGAATAATGTCGGCGTTTAACTTTTTTATATTTTTTTGGCTTCCAAGATTTTTGAGTCGCTAAAGTGTTTCCTTAAAAGGTTGCTCGTGCAGGCTAGTTTGTTTGAGAAAGCAATTAAAGATTCAAAACGCACTCCAACAGTGCTAAAATTACCAGAGTGTAGAGTTTCAAATTAGTCCAGTGTCGTGAAAACGTAACAATTATAACCATGACCCGTCTGATGTGCTTGTTAAAATCGAGATGTTAAACCCTTCAAGATATCAACAAACTCGAATTACTTCAAATGTTCAATACACTTTATTAGGTCTCTTTGTTCAGGATTCAAAAAAGATATATAGCGTCCTGAATAAATTACTTGAAAAATTCTAGGTTACACCTTAAATCCCATTAATCAATCCAGCTAACTAGTTTCCTCGCCATTCTAAGAATATCAAAACCGCGAGACCTTAATTTTCAGATGAAAAGAGAGTACCATACAAACTTTAAATTAGCTAGCCTGGTGGACAATCAAACATATTCTAATACTAATGTACAGTTGAAAGCCACCTTACTCGCTACTATTGATTATAATCATGGTTCGAGACACTATTTAGCCTAGTTGCACTCTACAAAGGCTAAGAGAGAATACATTATGCTATCCTTACCCAAATTTATCGTTAATCATAGAACTTATAGGAATATCATCAAAAGTCTAATACAATACTTCAATCAGCACATTTGCCTGGTTTTATATACCAGAAATACAAAAAGGAAAAATCGGTCATTTAGCTTATCTTATTCTAATAACTGTTAACCTTTTAACTCCCATGAGTGACCAAGACAGAATTTCTCCTTACAATATCAATACAATATCAACCAGCTAAGTGTTAAGAATAAAGAAAAATATCAAATTGGGAATAATCAGTTGATCCAATACTAAATTCTCGGAACTAACATTATAGGAATTGTATGGTTGACAGTAAGGAGAATGAAAAATTTGATCTGGGAGTTAAAGGGTTAAAAAACGCCATGTCACGCAGGCTTAGCCTGATTGTGACTCTGACATAAGACAGAGCAATCTCATCAAATATATTGCAACTTTTTTAAGCCAAAAGTTGACTTTTCCAGTGCTATTCATTGTTTAAAACACTACTTTGTTCAGGCTTAGCCTGGCTATACTTAACAAAATCAAAAAGAGTACAAAATATTATTGCAGATGTTTTTAGCTGAAGAGCAGTCTGTGCCCTATCCATATTTTGGGCAACTAATCGGTGAGTCACTCTTAAAAAAAAACTGGAAAAAAAAGGAAAAAAATCTCCTTGTCGTTTTTTACTTAGAATGTAAGTTTATATTCACCCTAGGAAAGTTTTGGCCAGCTGATGTACACACAAAAAGCACTGCGCCAACAACCGCAATTAAACATGCTCGTTGCCAAACAAAGAACGTATGCGTGCCAACCTTCGATTGGTGCACTCTACCAACAGAACAGCACCATTCACTATAATGGAGACAAGAGTTCACAAAGGTGAAAGATTACAAGCATACTGTACTTGGCTTAGATTAACTCACAGAATGAGAAATTTTCGAGCGTCACTAACGCAGAGTAACGGAAAATCATTATATGTGATATCGATGTTATACATGACAGCTATACGAAAAATTGAAAGTCCAATACAAAGCAAATGTGACTAATATTTCCTGAAACATATCCTGTGAAAATTTTTCAGTCTTATTGAGGTAAATTTCAGGCTTTCTTTAACTACCGAGCAAAATTCTAGAGTTTTGAGCAGAATTGTGTAATGTTCACGCGTATTCACCGGGAAGGTATACTAACCGTCAATAAGCCATTAAACGAGAAGGACTTATCCAAGCCCATCGGGTACTGCTGGACCATTACTCACGAGAAAGGTATCAACTCGCCTTTTCAAATGGTTCAAACCACGTTGAAACATTTGATTTAGGTCACCAAGAGCACGGCGAAGAAGCAATATATTTTCTTCATGAGTGGAGAGGACTACGCGTTGGTTCTTGACTTCATCAACTACATCTCGCATTTCATTCTTCATTTTTTCCTCCAGGAATCTTCGCAATTCTTCCAACTTCAAATGGAACTGATCAATTGCCGTCTCCATCCGCTCTACGCGAGAGCCCATGTGTTTCAGTCGGGAACCTTGGTCGGCCTGTTTCTTTTCCACTTTCTCGGTGCGTTGACAAATTCCTTTCATCAGCTCTTTTAAATCCTGTATTTCCTTCTCCATCTTCTCCAGTTGATGATTCGTTTCTTTTACCATCTGTGAATGAAACTGGGCATTCGTTTTCTCTATCTCCTCCATAAGAGAACTCATCTTATCCAACTGTAAAGCGTATTCGGCCACCTTCTTCTCGTTTCCCTCAACACGTTTATCAATTTCTTTTAACAGTTCCTTTGCGTCCTGTATTTCTTGCTCTTTGTTCTCCTTTTGATGATCATTTTCGTTCACTTTTGAATGGAGCTGCGCCATTGTCTTCTCTCTCTCCTCTTGACGAAAATTCAGCCCACCCAACTGTAAAGCGTGCTCGCCTACCTTCCTCTCTATTGTCTCAAGATGTCTATCAGTTTTCCTCTTTGTGTCCTGTAATTCTTTCCCTATGCTCTCTTTTAGACGATGCACTTCTTTTACCAGCTGTGACTGGAGCTCGGCAGCAGTTACCTCAACCATCTCCTTACTACAACACGATTCTTTCAAATGTGAATAACCGTCCTTGGCCACCTTCTTCTCCGTTTTCCCGCCACCGCTATCTACTTCTTTCAACTGCGCATGCTCACGCAAATGGTCTTGGTGCACCGCCTCTTTTTCGTTTTCCGACGTCTTCCGAAGTTGGGCCATTTTTGCAGCTTGCTTAGTGGTCTCCTGATCGTTCTGTCTGTAATGATCCCTTTCTTGTAGTTGTGATGCAAGCTGATCAATCTCCTTCTGCAATTTTTGTTTGAAAACTTTTTCTTCCACTAGTTGCGATTCAAGCAGGTGGATTTTCTCCTGCAACTTCTGCTTGAATATTGCATCTTCTTCATGACGTGTGTGGCATTGAGGTATCAAGTTTTCAAGGTTAGCAAATCTTCTTTCAAGCTTCATAATGAACCTTCCCTCAAGACTATCACTTTCGAACCGGGTTAGTATCTCAGAAAAACTTGTGTCAGCGACGACTTCGGTTTTCGAAGAGGCAACTACACTAGAGGGCGTGCTCTTAATTTTGACTTCCTCTTTTTCTGTTCCTTTTCTTAAGCCAAGTGTTGTTTGTAAGCGGTTGATAGCTCGCTGGATAAATGAACCAATTGTGCGGCTGCCATCAAGAGAACTAGGTCCCTCTTTTATCTATGACGGTTAAAACATTACCACTAATTATTTTTTCACATAATATGAGAAATGCAGCAATACATTTATACCTGTATGGTTGTAGAAGGAAATATACTAACGGATCAAAATACCCATTTCTTTGTACCAAAAATTCTTGATTTCAAACCCGTAATTAATTTGAAATTAGGAGATCCTCGCTGCTAAGAACACTACTGAAACGAGTAGTTGTAAATAGGACCTGAAAAAAATTTCAGGCCCGTACGGGATTTGAACACATGACCTCTGCGATACCGCTGCACCGGTATTTGCAGAGGTCATGGGTTCAAATCCCGTACGGGCCTGAAATTTTTTTCAGGTCCTATTTACAACTACTAGTTTCAGTAGTGTTCTTAGCTGCGAGGATCTCCTAATTTCATCTTTCCACCGCAGTGCAAATATGTGAATTTTCATATATCTAAAATCTTCATCCGTAATTAATTATTAAAAAGCTAAAAGAAAAGGAAATTACAACATGTCATCTCAGCAACTAGTAAAGTGCTGTAAGGTCTGAAGGTGCTGACAAGGAGAAATTGTATAACGTTCAAGAGCTTATTTAGTAAATGATCATTTCCTTTTTTCTTGCGGCCCTAATGTTTGATTCAGGTGTGATGTTGTCAGGAGAAATAAGATGCTGGTCAGTCTTAGGGGTTAAAGGCCAGAATAAAAAGCAAACCATCCATTACACTATTTAGAAGATAGACTCATTTCGTGGGAAGTGCATCCAAATTCAAATTTTACTAATCAGAATCCCTTCTTCAAAGGTAAAATAAAAGTGCCAACTCGATAAGTACGATGTAGAATAGAAATCTAGAGCCGGTGCTTCACATACTTACCAAAGAATCAAAATTTATCGCTATTAGGCGCTTATTAAAAACCTCTTTTCGCATCTTCATAGTTTAACAATGTTATCTTATCGGCTTAACCCTTTAGTCCCTAAGAGTGACAAGGTTCTAATTTCTCTTTCAATCTATCCCTTGAATCAAATGTTTAAGTCAAGAGAATAAAGGAAATGATCAGTAACTAACGAAGCTCTTGATGGTTTTACAAATTCTCCTTGTTAGAACCAAGGAAATGTGTAGAGAACAGTATGGAGAATATGCATACTGATGTTAGGGTGTAAAGGATTAAATCAGAGTTTGCAGCATTAAATGTTGGTAAAAATAAACTTAGCTAGGTACAACAGTTATGAAACACTGAAAAGTGTCTGACGGTGATTTGAAGACGTCTTAATCAAGTGGGCTGTAAGCCTCTGTGGGTAAATGAATCTAAAATAAGTGAGATCAAACAACCAATCGTAATCAGTTCTTTCCTAAGCATATAATATAATTAGAGCCAGGCACAAGAATAGCAGGACACCTAAAATTATAGTGTCATAAATATTTACCTCATTAAATTGTTTCGATGCATTTTCACGTTGATCAAGATCCTTCTCATCCTCGGTTGGCTCTGTCTGTAGACTTGTCCCCTCAAGATGACTGTTTTTAAAAGATCTTAAGTTGTCATCCTTAGTTTCCTACAATTAAAAAATTACATAAATGACGTGCGTCGTTCAAGAGGGAAGGTGTGTGTTCGTGTTTTTACAACAGTGAATCAATGAACACGACGAAAAAGATTGAAGTATTAAACTAAATCAGTTGGAAGGTTTCCGCCACATCAAGTAAGTTTGTGACTGAACTGGGTTTGGCACTCTTTGGCAAAAATTACACCACCGTTTCAACAAACAATTAACCAAACAAAAAAAGAAACCACTAACAACAACAAAAAAAATCCGTGTCACACCAGCGCTAACTCGTGCTTGGATTTAAAACTTTAGAAGTTCACATTATTCTAAAATTCCGTTACTGCTAAAAAGCACACAGACAAAATCCACTTCTGATGTAATCACTCCAGTTCAGCCGTTTCTTTTTTTGGACACAGAAATTCTTTGAGAGAAGACTCATGGGGACTCAGAATTTTTTCTTTGTCCCACGCTCGTGACAAGATGAAAAAACATCTTTCTTCAAGTGCTACATCTTTAAATATGGAGGTGTCAGGGGTAAATAATTTACTTGTGTGCAAATGGCTAAAAATTGTCCACAAGGTCTGGGCTTTAAGCTTGATGTATAAAGTCACGGTCGCTGATTTTGCCTTTTACAAAAAAAAAAAAAGGTAGGTCGGGCATTTGAAGACAATTTTTTCCGGGGGGGGTGGGTGGGTGAGAATTTTCAAAAGTTTAAATGCCCGGGAAGGGGATATTAAACTTTGAATTAATTGATGCATTAAAAACCATTAATAAACACCTCCCTTTATTGATTGATTAATTAAAACATACGACACTTTTTCACACCTCTTTGTTGTTAGAACCGGCAGTTAAAATGTCATAGTTGTCATCTTGTGCAGGGTATTTTTCTTCAGTCAGGCCCTACAAAAGAAAAGAATAAGTCTAGTATTCACCCAGAATTCACCATGCAAAATCAACAAATAACTCTTTTTCGATCTTGTTACAAATATAGAGAAACTGCACAATGAACATTTATTTATTCATTTTACTGTAAATTAATTGATAAACAAACAAAAATAGAAAAATCAACAAGTAAATCACATATTACAGGTATTTACAGTAACACAGTAACTCTGGTCATAGTAATGTTTGTGAGGTTGATATTGTTCCTGGGATGGATTAAATTAATGTAAGGATAAAAAGTTTGTGTGGTAAAGGTGAAGTTGGTAGAGTCTATAGTCATTAGTTTAATTATGTTGGTGAAGTTCACTACAGTTTGATAATGTTGATAATAGACACATTTTAATGAAATAATGAAAAGGTGAGCTTTGCGATCTTGGTGAGGTCATATTAAGGTTGCTGATATTGATAGGGTTGATGAGGTTGAGAGGTTCTGAGGTTGTGAGATAGATGTGGTTGGTGATCAGTTGGTGAGGTTTCATATATTAAATGCCACTGTCACCAACATTATAATGACTATCACATAATAATGCTGAGGTTTGGGAAAATTTTTCATAGTGATGATGACGTTCAGGTAATTTTAGGTTGGTAATCTGGGTTGCCTAGGCTGAATTTGTTAGTTAAGTGGTAATTGGCGAGGTTCAATGAGATTTGACAGGTCTGGACCAGATGTCACTCAATTTGGTTATTAATTTTGTTGGTTTGCTTCAATTGAAGGAAGCCAGGCAATTAGACTCTGCACTTCTTGGTAGATGAAGGGGTGAGCAGATTATGAAATAATTGCATCACAAATCCTAAATCAACCATGCAGTCACACACACCTGATGTTAGAGGAATTATAATAAGCTTTTGGTAAACATTTAGAAATGCCAACTCTCACCTTTATTTCCTCAAGAGATTCCCCTCTTGTAAAATTTGAAGTCAAAGCGTAAAGTGCAAATATTTCTTCCATTATGCAAAGAGTTTTAACACCTCATGGAGCTCCAGTGCAAACAGGCCAGATCAAAAATATCGTGGGGGACTCTATGGGCAAACAAAACATCTCTCAAATTTCTTTAGGATGAAAGATTGAAATTGGATGTAGAGTTCATGATATAAAAAGAGCAAATAAATATTTATTGCATCAAGGGTAGTCTTTCCTCTCAACCCTGGGTTCCAAGTTAAGAGATAGTTGTTATGACTCTGCACCTTCCCCACTGACTTTTTTTAAAGAATCTCAGAGAGTGTGTACCATCATCAATGGCAGCTGAGACTCGCTTGTACATGAGGTAGTCATGGGTCTAAATGCTAAAACAACCCCCTGCACGATCGCCCTGTTTAATCATAGTTAACATTTATTCTGAATAAGTTGCAAAGGCAGATCATTTAGGCCACTCTACCAGTCAGGTCAAAGGAAAATCAAGGAGCCTAATGGGAATCATCAGTAAGAGCAGACATCTGTAATACACTTCCTAAGTTTACAACCAAATTTGCAAAAACTGAAAGACCATATCAAAGTGAATGTTTTGCAATAAAAGCCCTTTAGGCAATGAGAGATCAGACTATAGAAACAAGACAACAACTGGTATAGTCTTAGGTAACACATATTTTATCCATAATCACTTTCCCAGGGTTAAAAAAATAATCATCATCATAGAATGATAAAAATATGATGATATAAAAATCTTTCAAGTGATGATTCTGTTGGCATAATGTCAATTGTTTGTTTAGTTTTAATTTTTGCAATGTTTTTTGATCAGGAAGTGGGGCATTCGCACAGATAGAAACATAACATATAAACATACACCAAGCATCAATGCAAGTTACTGTGGTGCAATTATTTTTTATTGTTAACAAGCGTTACTTTTGCTATTATGTTGTTTTTTGGCAAACCAATTACAAAATGAAAGTTATAATAGCCATATTTGTAAGTATATGTTACAGCACAATGTTAACTATTAATAATGGGTTCCAATTAAACTTAACATCATGTAATCTGCTAGGTAATACCTTAATTCTGTAAAAGTGAACTGAAAAAAAAAAATTCATAAATCATTATAAAGGCCTACCCTTACAGTTGCCCTTGCTTACTTCTCTAAAAGGGTTTCAATCATTGGTAGTTTGCCAGATTATTTGCTGCAGAATTAAGATATTTTTGCAGATTGAAGACAATTTATGCACAATTTTGCATTCTTTGTATACAGTTGAGGCACTGTTCAATCTAGCAGTACAAGTTTGATAATGAATAAAGGGGTAAGTTTCTAAAGAAACTGTGGTGCTGCGTCGGTGGGAGAGTATAGCAGGTAATTTAGTGTTGACAACTGGGTTGAAAACGTAAATTAGCCACCGTAAAGAGTAAAAAAGCTGACGTTTCAAGCGTCAGCCCTTTGTCAGAGCGATGGAGATCGCTCTGACGAAGGGCTAACGCTCGAAACGTCAGCTTTTTTACCCTTTACGGTGGCTAATTTACGTTTTCAACCCAGTTGTCAACACTAAATTACCTGCAAGTTTGATAATGACTAATTAAGTGACCGGTCATTATTAATGTATGAAAGATCAAAATTTCTATAAGACCCCCTCCCTCCAGGCCATGTAAATAGACCCTCCCCCTTATTCCTATGTTATGACCCGCAGTCACCTCATATCTCCTCTGCAATCATATAAAAGACAAAAAATATTGGACAACTGCAAAAACAGGAGTCTGATTTGTCAATCACAAGTCAGGCAATTATGAAGTCCTGTTACCAGTTAATTAAAGATATTTTAGTTTGTGAGAAAACGTTTGCCTTTATGTATTTAAGTGGGACTTATAATATTCTAATTATCTTTAAACTCTTAATGACAAACACAATCTATGAAATAAAGAAAACAGGTTTGAGTTAAAACTACATCACATATAAATACTGTAAATGCTATTTTCAAATAATTGTATATGTTATTTAAATGTATCATATCTTATTTTTTATTTAGGTGTCATATGAAATATTTTAAAAGTTCAGATAAAGTTGCATCAGTAATTGCTGCAGTTGTAAAACTGCTGAAGAGTGATAAATTATGACCTTGTGATGCATTGTTTTGGAAAGTTCCACTTTCGGAGGTAACCTTAGTCCAATTGAGCGAAAATGGCAGACAACATTATGATGTTCGTTTCTTGGCATTCCAGCATTCATTTCTCAGAAAAAATGTGCATTGTTATATCAGGAGAAAATAATAATCACCTTAAAAGGACGTTGCAATATATAAAAAAATCACAGCTAAATAGACCAACACATCTGGAGTGCAAATCAAGTTTTTGATCGACAAAGTTCTTTTTACTGACAGCCTAAACTAGGTATCAAGAATGGATACATACAAAACAGAGTAAGTCATGTCGCTCGAAGTCATCTCAATATATATTGCTTTAAAGAAAATGATCAGTACGAAGAAGATTACTCCAAGCCGTTAGTCTTACGTCTGTTGTAAATGAATTAATTTTTTCATTCAAATTCTAAAGGAGTATGCTACCTTGCAAACTGCCTAGAGATACGCAAAACAATGCGAGAAACGGAAGTTCGAATACGAATGTGTTCGAATTACCAAGAAATGCTCTTCGAGGAAGGCGGTTTCGGTTGTTTTATTCGTTTGTCTCGCTACCAATTCATTATTCTGGCAATTAATTATTTGTTAATATTTCCTAAATTTTCGACCATTCTTTGTGATAATTAAATTAAATTTGCCTTTTTTTTGTCTGTTTTTTACTTTTGAACGTAATCTTTTCCGTTTTTCTCATCGATCACTTTTGATCTGATATATTGATTCCAAGATATATGTATTGCATTGAAGGGATGGAAGTAATCTAGTCGGAGATGAAGTTTTGCAGACGTTATGCAATGCGTGTTTAATTATGTTCAGTTCCGTAAAGCATGAATAACATGACTTCCTTGTTCCTGTATTTGTTGGCCACATTAGATCGCTACGCAAAGTGAGTTCTATCACGAGAACTGGTATTCTTAAGAGGATAGCGATTGGTTTAAATACACATATTGCCCGCTAATACTGAATATAATGATGACCTTATTTACGATTATGCTGAACTCGAGCAGCAACAAACAGAGTCAAATATACTTACACTCGGTTGCACTTCACCGGCCGGGAACAACTCACACTATCGTCTGTCAACGTCGTGGGCATACACGAGAGTTTCTCTAGGACCAGAAAAACTTCTCTCGACAATACTCCAAAATATAATTGTTCCCTTGAAAGCCTAAAAGTGAATAAAGGGAAATATATCAAAATATTAAGGACTCAATATTCTCCTCATGAAAGTTGGGGCTCCCCCATATCCCACAATGCATCGAGAATGGCTATGATGTCATGCCCCCAAAAAATTATCGCCACGCAACGCGATAACTACCTGAACCAGAGTGCGCGTTGCGTGTCGAGACCAAGCAAAGGCTTCAACGCAGTCGAATAACCTTTTGGTGTATAGTACCATGGATTTCGCTAATCAGAAAATTGTCATAAGCTTTCCATGGCAAGCTTGAGAATATGATAAACAGCCCGTAATCACGGCAGACAGGTGTGGATATCTCCCATACGCTATGTGCTAAGGTTCGCAAAGTTTGTTATATATGAAAGTTGCTCGCATTATACGAGTTTTGTCTTAACTTAAGCTAAAAAATTATCTTTGCTAAGAATAACTGCACAATTTTTTTTGACAGTTAAATGCCAAAGAAAAACTTACAAGGACCGTGGAGTGTAAAAAAAAGACATGCGCATAATTCCTAAGTCGGATACAGCCCTCTGACCGACAATCGCATTTGAAGGCTAACTGAAAAGTCTTTGCATGATTAAAGGGTTGTTATTTCTGAGTAGAGATGGGCTGTCAGAAAATGATTCAATATACCAGCAAGCAAACATAGGCCACACCCGCTTCGCTGCATCTCTAGTTTGACGTTTGCGTGGTCGACTACAGGTTTCTGAGTACAAGATGTCATTAGTCGCGGATCATACCATGTTTCAAATATTCTGGCCGCCTTGAAGGTTAATCTAGTTACAGAATTCCCGCCATTAATTCTGGTAATGAATGCGCCATTAATGAATTAAAAGAATTAGTGATGCCTGCAGCAAAGGTTGCCACAAACGAAGCGCTGTGGCGGTGTCTAATAAGGAAAATAACAGAATACGAGTTAGGCTTCAAATCAAACATTATCCGCCGATCCAGCCTAAGCTGCCCTGGAAAAATTCATCATCCGTTTTAAGTGCTTCTGCAAATGAGAGAAATATCATATAAAGTGTGTAACAAATCAACTTTAATTCCTTTTCTTTGTTCGGCTAATATTTTAACGGTGTCTTAAACCGTGTTTCTACCTTCTAAGCGAAATGATGATGTAATTTAAACACCTCGTTTAAAAGTAAATAATAATTTAACCCTTCAACTCCCAAGATCTGATTGTTAATTCTCCCCTGTAGCTGCCACACATTTCCTTGTAAATTAGTTATGAGAATTTAGTGCTAGATCAAGATAGCAGCTTCTACCTGATAAGTTTGAATATTCTCATTACCTGTTTGCTGAAGAATGTGTGGATATTGAAGGGAGAAGTTTATGTTAATCACTTCTGGGAGTTAAAGGGTTAGCTATAAAAAATTACGATGACAATGGACCTTTCTTCAGGCTTTGCCTTTACGACCATAACTTTTAAAACCTCACTCGATGCTCACTGAGTATTAGGATCGACTGAGACGATGACGAAATTTTCTTTTATGTTTTTTCTTGTTGAGTTGGTTACCACTCACTAAGAATGAAAGTCACCAGAACAAACAAACAATGATGTTAATCAATGGTGTAAAACACCATGGAACTGAGTGAACGACTTTCAATATTACAAATATCATATGCCTTGTTGGATGAAAATTTTTAACCCTATCCCGATGGCCCCCCAAGTGTCTCAAATACTTTGTTGTGTGGCCTTACTTTCTGATCCTAAGTAATTTTTTTCACTTGGCACAAATTTGATATGATAGTATGGAGTTGTTACAGAGGTTTAGGGCTTGTATAATGAACTTCCATCAAGAGCTTAAGAATTCTTTCAAATGGGCGTTACCTGTATGTCTATACGAGTAGAGGTAATGAAATCAACGAAATATTGAAGACGCTCCCGATGGCCAGTGGAGTAATGCATCATACTGACCGCTAATGATATTATCAAATATTACTCTGTGCTGGTTGCTCTTGAGAGTTCATCATTTTTGTTCGAAATTAACCCTTGAAGTTATTACTGCGGCATCGGAGCTGCATAATCTGAGTAAATGCTGTCTATCATTAAAAAAAGCCCGTCTAAATTTGTCCCTGATCGCCCGAGTCCATATTTGATCCCGATGCTATTTTAAGGCAACCCCACACTAAAAAATTTGTCCTACAGGTCTAATATTAATTACAGATCATTCGTATCTACAATAACCTTTACAAACATGGTGTCGTCCCTGACATATGCGTGATTATTCAGCTCAGCAAGCGAGCAGAACATTGGACACCCACTGGTGATGTCTGTTTCTTTTCTTGGCCTCTGAAAGGATGAGCTGTTCGGATCGGGTCTGAAGGCGTCAATCACGTGTTCCACGTTATCCTGGTCCAGCAACATGAAGGTGACCTTCTGTCTGAATGGCCAGCGGAGAAGCGCGTCATACTGACTGCGCATGACCCCAAAGAAGATCGAGATGTGCGTTCCTTTTCCTATTCCATCCCCGTTCAGGTAAATGCGGGCGCACATTTTGTAGCCGTGACGACTGGTGTAAAAGCAAGGGCTATCGAAAGAGACTTGCTGGCCTGTCACTGCGTCATTTCGTTTGCGAGCATAATCAGGAATCTTCCACAACAGTTGGCCATCGTAACTTGAGCACTCTTGCTGTTTTACGTACTCCTCCAAATCAGCCAGGGTCATGTTTCTGAGTGCCAGTGTGTGCTCTATAGATTCAATCCTTCTATCATGCCTTCTGGTGCTCTCCTGGGTGGTGTCAAGTT